CGGTCCCAATGGCTGAGGAGAAAGTCAGGAGAAGAGGTGACTTTTGGTGCACACGCCGGAGTCTTCAGGCACCCAAAGCGGGCCAGACAAGGGAGCAAGTGCGGCAAGTATAGTTACTGGGATATATAGTTCACCTACAATCAAAGAGCATTCTGAACTCCACCAGTGATGGAATTGAACCAAATATGGCACACAGAACTCCTACGACGAACAGAATATATATATATCAATGATTGGTTGGGGGGGGGGCGCCAAAATACTGTTTGCTTACTGTTGAAAATTACCTAGGGCCGCCTCTGTGCGGACCTGTGGCTTCAGGGGGAGTGTGACCCCGTCCAACACAGGTTGCCACCCTATACCCCGGTCTGGTTTGCGATCAACCAGGAGGACCTCTGTCTTGGCGGGATTGATCTTCAGCTTGTTCCTCCTCATCCAGATCGACACAGCGGCCAGGCACTTGTCCAGCACCTGGGAGGCCTCCTTGGAATTGGGTGGAAAAGAGTAGTAGAGTTGTGTGTCATCTGCGTAGAGGTGGCACCTAACTCCAAAACTCCGGATGACCTCTCCCAGCGGTTTCATGTAGATGTTAAAGAGCATGGGAGACAGAATAGAGCCTTGCGGGACCCCACAGGTCAAAGGCCAGGGGTCCGAGCAGGCGTCTCCCGACCCTCCAGGAAGGACCGGAGCCACAGCAAAGCCATACCTCCAAGGCCCATCCCAGAGAGTTGTCCCAGAAGGATACCATGATCAATGGTATCAAAAGCCGCTGAGATGTCCAAGAGAACTAACTATCTATGTATCTAGGAATTGTGGGAGTTGGAGTCCAAAACACCAGGCCTGCTCTCTCCACATCCCTCCACCCATCTCTCTAGGCATTGTCCAGTGATCATAAACACCATCATAATGAAACACTCTACATTTTGCTGCAGTTTGGAAGAGGACGGACCATGGACAATGGGACTTGCAGTACCTTCGCTGCCTGAGACCATTACAGCCCACACCAATGACTGATCATGACCAAACTGGGCAAACAGAGTCCCCATGACCCACTCTACATCCTGGTGCAGTTTGGAGGAGGATGGATCATGGACAATGGGACTTGCAGTATCTTCACTCATTTCCTGAGACCACTATGACCACCAGCAATGATGGATCAAGAGCAAACTTGGCACACAGAGTCCCCATGGCCCACTCTATATCCTGGTGCGGTTTGCAGGAGGATGGACCATGGACGATGGGACTTGCAGTACCTTCACTGCCTGAGACCATTACAGCCCACACCAATGACAAATCAAGCCCAAACTTGGCACACAGAACCCCCATGACCCACTCTACATCCTGGTGCAGTTTGGAGGAGGATGACCATGGATGATGGGACTTGCAGTACCTTCACTCACTTCCTGAGACCACTGCAACCCACATCAATGACAGATCACGACAAAACTTGGCACACAGAGCCCCCGTGACCCATTCCACATCTTGGTGCACTTTAGAGGAGGATGACCATGGATGATGGGACTTGCATATGGGAGTTGTAGTTCACCGGCAACCACTGAACCCTACAGACATTGGATCTAGACACAATTTGGATCCCAGGCAAGCAATGCCTTTCTCAAATAACCCGGGCATTTCCAAATCCCCAAGCTAGTAGTAGTAAAAAAATATCCATCCAGCCATCTACTTATCTACTTACTGACCAATCATCCATCCATCCACTTGTGCATCAATCTGCCCATGTTTATGCATCTCACTCTCTGTCATTGATGTCGAATTCGCCCCAGACCCCTGCTTTCCAGCTGATCTGACCAGCTGCAGGGAGTTCCGCAGTTCTTGGGTGCTCCATTGGGCAAGCGCTAATGAAATGTGCCTCAGCAGCAGCTTCAACCAGGGACTCTTTGCAACCTTGCACTCTCTCCTTTCATTTCTTTCCCCTGCCCAAACATTGTAAGTAAACCCTTAATAAAGACTAATTGAATTGTAACCTTCACCTCTTCATAGTGATACATTGTTCCCCATTCCTGACTCACAAGTATGTAATGCATGAATTCAACCTTTTCTGGGCCGTGGGAAGCCACTGGCCCGCCTGGGATGCCTTCCAGGCGTCCCAGGGAGGCCGAAACTGCATTTCTTCAAACCGCGGATACGGAAACCCCTTG